GCATCAGGTTACGACCAGCTTGGGATACGCCCAGAGTCACGGAATGGATTAAGTTCGTATCCCGAGGTACCACTGTATTTATAATGCAGTTACTAATTACCTATTGAGAGAAGTTGGAACTTGCTTGGTGAACCTTTGTATGGATGCATACAAACTATGCAGGGAATTGCCTGAGCTCTTTTCCAGCAAAACTCAGAAGCAGATTTCATGTCACTTCCTCAAACCATTTCCAAAACTGGTCTCATGCAGCTTGGGTGGAAGCAGTGTTTGAGGAATAAAAAGCCAAGTATAACATACATGCAACATTATTTTACTAAACGTAGCATTTATAAACAGAGCTCCTTGATTTGCAGATGATTAACATTCAGTAATGTTTTCTAGTACTAGGAATACTCCAGAATTATATGCCATGAGTTGGGGTATGGTCTTGTTGAATCTGTTTCTATACTGTGTTCTGCATTTAAGAGCAGGAACAATAATAATGAATAAAAGCGGGCCGTTTATTTACACATATTTGTTTTAAATAATTGCAAATAAAAGCCATCAAGAGTTTGTATTTAAAAGAAATTTAAAAGAAATAAAATTTACAAAATTGTAATCAAACTATCAAAAGAGCAGATAAAAATAGTAAAGATTGAAAATAAAACTGCACAAAATAGTATTCCAAATAGTTGTGGAGATGCAATCAAGTTAAAAGGTATGAGAGGATCAAAAGTGCTGAGAAAGCAACAAAGAAAGCACTAGGCAGACCTTTTTGGGGAAATATTCCATAATTGTGGATCTAGTACTGAAAAAGGCTGCTCCAGCCTGGATGTACACTTGGAGCAGGGCCTCCCATGAAGAGCTTAGATAGAAATATATGGGAAAAGGCATTATTTTGTGTTGATCCTCTGTAAGGTGATTTCCTTGTATATATTTCATTCAAGCTCTTCTATTTTCTCCCAAGAATGAGGCTATTATGTAATCACATTACTCAGCATCTTATCTATCAAGAAGAACCATTTAAATGAAACCTCTTGTTTCATGTATTTACCACTTGTCAACACCAGTATTGTTTTTTTTAATTGTGGCATTGAAGTATATATTTAACAATGCATATACTTTAAAAAAGGAAAGTGAACAGAATTATAACTTCTGCATAATCTATCGGTGATGACAGAAGGGAAGAACCAATTAAAGACAGATTCTTTTTTTGAGAAAGGAAAAAAAGAAACCTTTGGTAGAAACCTGTGTCTCTTGTGAATAATGGGACCTTTATTCTTCCATAGGGTCGTGCAAAGTGTTTTAAGCTTAAGTTGTTCCAAGCTCAAAGCTGACTTGTGCGTTCCACGGTTTTGGAACAAAATCTGGCCATTTCAAAAAGTGGCATTTTGAGTATTCTGCCTTCAAGCAGGTTGTTTCAGACATTTGAAGCTCAAAACAAAACATGCTTGTTCAGACTGTCATACTTCAAGGTTGAAACAACAACAAAAATAGTTACCTTTTGAGTTTTACTGGGATGGAAAGTATCCAGCTTGTCTGATTTTGAATAGAGCTGTTTTCCTTTGAGCTCCGAACAAAACATGGTTCCTTCTCCCAAGTCTGCAGAAGAGGAGCATTAGATTCACTGCTATATCAAAAAATACTTTTCGCTGGGTAAACACTTGATAAGAGTTAACAAAAAACCTTGCTGGTGGTGTGTAACTGTTTTTTAAGATAAAGAATAATGTACAGGAATGCAACTCCAACACTTTTTCCAGAGCAGGAGCTTAATGTAATTGATTATAGAATCAGGATACCCACAACTCTGGTGAATGAATGAAGTGATAAAAGACCATTCAGGTTTTATTGTTGAGGCCAGGCATGCCAGAAGTTAGCATAGAGACAGTCAGATAAAGGGGAAATGTGAGACAGGGCACTCCTTTTCTTACTTCACAAAACTCATTTAACTCTTCTTTAAAAGATAGTTTGTGTACTGAGAGGTACCTAAAGCTACATTTCAGATGGTTGAAAGCCTTTCATTGAAGTTCATATATGTTGCCAGCCATGTCCCATAAGATAGTATAATTTTATCAGACCTTTTTGGGGGATGTTTGTGCTTAATCTGCTTTATATATAAATAAGAGAATGTGATTTTTATTTGTGTTTGTATATAGAATGTATGTCCATCAATTTTTAATCTATCTTTTGTGAGTTATGAGCATCGCACTTCAAAGATATACCTGCAAAAACATTTGAGGCAGGTTGGATAATTAACAGAGCATGACCAATCTTTTCCCTGACCCCTGCTATTTAAGTTTCTGTGAATAGTTTTGAGAGGGTCAGAATAACAGAGAGAGAGAGAGAGAGAGAGAGGGAGGGAGGAGAGAGGGAGGGAACCAAAAGTCAAACCCTATAGGACAATCACAATATGTTTTATCAATTTTTTTTTCCCAGAGAAAATGCTACTGGACTTAGGAATCTTTAAAGGTCATGAGTCAGACAAGTAAGGAAGGGTTTAGAAGAAAATGGTAACTAATTTGAACATTTAATATAACTTATATAATCAATTGTCTATGGGGCTTGACTGTCTATGGAGCCTACTTTTGGTACACCAGATAAATAGATGAATAGATACTGTAGACAGACAGACAGACAGACTGACTGACTGACTGACTGACTGACTGACTGACTTTCCTCCCAACACAGGTCTTTTGTGCCGCTTTCTTTTGACATTTAAAAATGCATTTTTGGAGTAGAGTGATCTTACTAATCCAACCAGTTCTAAATAGCTCTTTAGAATTTATTTTGTTAATAAACTCAGATAGCTGACTTGAAAAAGAGATAACCGAGGCAGGAGAAATATCAGCAGTGGGGCAGCCAATTTCATGCCAATTCATTTTTTTGCAGAATTAAGGATGGGTAAAGAGCTCTTCAGCTAAGCAGTGGGAAAGGCCTAGGTGTCCTGTGACTTGCACCAGATGGTTCACTTATGAAAGAAAAAAAGAGAAGGAAAATACTATTCTTTGGTGCTAATAGTTTTCTCCTCAAGTCAGTTTAAATATTAAGAACATTACAGTATTTTGTTTAATTTCTCTTGTAGTAAGAAGGGATTTAAATGAATTTCTGTTGGTTATAAAAAAGTATAAATCCTATCTATACAAAGAGTTGTTCTTTGCATGTTTACATATTAACAGTTTTACTTTTCAACCACATTACTGTATTTTATAAAGCTGATATAATTCAAAAGTTTGAGCTTTTATAGTGAAGGTTTTTTTTTTCCAGAATAGCAGTATATAAAAAAAGAATGTTTAAAAATTAATTTTTATCAGTGGGGCTCATTGATTAATCTATTAAAAGTTTCAGTTAAGTGGGTTTGTGAGATGAATGGGAATTCTGGTTATTTTGTTTTTTTTAATACCTTCTTTCTTGCCTGAAGTGTCCAATAAGATATTATGATACATGCAGTATTATTTTCTCCTATTTTTAATCTTGTTCCCTTCAATTTAAGTAATTCTTAAACACATACTATATATAAGAATAATTTCACATCTTCTTGATCCTTTATTTTAGATACTCTAAATTTAATGTTTAAATACTTTTCTTTTATAAAGTATTTGTATCTAAGCATAGTGTTTTAATCTTGTCCTTGTTTACTTTTTTGAAAATATTCCTGCTTTTATTGAAGAAAAACAATTTGGCTCTCATGAATTAGTGGGTGCTATATAAGAACCCTGCATTCAGCTTTCCTTTCACACCTTTGCCCAGTAAAAGGATGATTAGCACTATTAGTAGGTAGAATAATACAGAGTGGAATCTTCACTGAATTACTTGCATTTTTCCAGCTTACAAATGATGCTGTCCGAATTATCATTGCTTAGATGCTGGTTCATGGAAGACATTCTGCAAACATGGTAGCAATCCACAGCTGCTTTTCTCATTACTTGAGCTTTTGATTATAAAGGTTGCAAAGTGTAGTTACAAGATTTGTTTTTAACCCTTTCAAGAAATCAGTTGATTTTCCAGTTCTTATATTTTCCTAGGTTACCAACTCTGGTAATTATAATATGGAGCCAACCAACTTTGTAATTACAATAGGGAAAAGGAATTCAGTAAGGCTTACTTACATTTGCATAAATGTAATATTCAGCTGAGTAGATGGAAACATTTTTCTAAGCATTTATTTAGGTCAGCAAACCAATGCGTACTTTCTTCAAGACCCCTTTTTATGAACTACACTAAGTATGAGTGTGTATCTGTTATGACTTGGTTCTGTGATTTTTATAAATGAGAGTACCTTAACTACATTCTGATGATCTTATCTTGGTTTAATAAGCTGAGTTATAAATAAGCACTTTATCAATGAGTGCTGCCCATTTATTTGTCCCTTTGTGTGGGCTATTATTAAATCAAGAAGTCTCTAATTTGTCATAACTCCCTATTTTGTATAAACCAGGATATTATGACTGCAGCTTTGGTACAATGCTAAGCCATAATTTGAAACTGTTTCTGTATTGCATTGGGTTCATCACAAATGGAGGAACAAAGGAAGAAGATTTACAAACAAAAGACTCAAATGTATAAAGCTGAGATATGATTATTTAAACAAGGTGTACGAATGTAGTAAAAAGTTAAAATATGGCTGATTTTAAACTAAAGAATTGTATTTGTGTGTGATTATGTGCAATACAGGATTTGTTATATTAAAATCCTGTTTTTCCTACTTGCAAATAGCTAAAACATGTGGAAGAACGTATTGATGAAAATATTCCAGATGTGACACTTCTGCTTTGCCTTGGCGTTACTTCAGGAATTGGTCGGCTGGTCTTTGGCAAAATTGCAGATTACATTCCTGGCGCAAAAAAGGTTTATCTACAGGTACTGCTATTGTACCACAACTTGACATGATTATTAATAATATATTTTTAGAAGCTTCAGGCTAATAATATGACCCTTTGGTGGATTTTTTTCTATATTTGCTGTCCATCATATTCTGAGAAGTACATAACTTTTGCAGAGTTATCTCTGGCATCTAAAGACTACTGAAATGGTGATAAGAATTTAATGGCATGGAGGTCTCAGTCCAGTAGATCTGAGATACTCTTGTGCATGCATAGTTCTCATGCATAGTACCCATGAAGCAGTGCTTCTGAAAATAGCATGTCATACCAACAGCATGATTTAATTATTTAAATCTACAGATTTGCAGTACTGAATCTTGAAAATTGGCAGGAGGTGTTGTCAAATGCCGCATATTTTCAATCCAACATCAATCTTGATGTATTCAATTACTGTACTAGAGGAGTAAAAGAATTTTTTTTCTTTAAGTGACAGTGAGACCTAAAGTTTGGAATAGGAATATTTCTTTGTATGCAAGTTTTCTATTTTAAGGACCAAGTGATTACTTGTGTTTCTTTATATAGCTGCTCCCTGCTTATCTTTATAAGGAATTTCTTAAAATGTTACAAAATAGCAGTGTCAGGTAAACACTTGGCACTTGGCATCAGTGATGCTGCAGACACCAGTCAACATACCCCAATTAATTCAGATGGCACAAACCTTGACAAAATGTTCTCTTTTCTAGAGACAAAGTATTGGTTTTTTAAAAGTAACTTAACTGCAATAGCAGCACTTCTTAAAGAAAGTTGTTCAGAATGAACATTGAAATAACTATACAAATATGTAGTGTAGTGTAGTGTACTGTAGTGTAGTGTAGTGTAGTGTAGTGTATCTCAAATAGTAAATATATTCCATAAGTATAATTGTCTTCTATAGTTTCACATGTACTGTGATATTTAAGATTAGTTAATGAATTGCAAATGATAAGTTCTTATTCAAGGGAAGGGCAGACTCCGAACATTTGTGACATCAGATTTCTGCCCTTTCTTTCTTATCACGTTCTGGATTAGATCTGTTCTTGGCATGAGTCCAAATAGATTTATATTTATGGCAAGAACCCTCTCAACCATCCTGCTTACCAAACTGGGATAAGAAATAAATGGGATAGAAGTTTCCCAATTAGCTGCTTTGCATGGAAGGCATTCAGGGTTGCCAGAACAATGAGAAATGTACTTATACTCTCCACAGAACAAAGGAAAGTACCTTTCCTGCATATTCTAGAAAATTACTGAAAATATTTGTCTCTGTCTAAGCTTTCATTCAGTCTATGTTAGCATCTTCACTATCCCACTTCTGGAAAGAGCAAGAGAACAAAAGAGAGGGGAAAGACTCTTGGAGATTTCAGACTGCAGAGAGACCTTTAAATCTATCATGTAGCTATTTACATAATACAGTCAGGTCTACAGACTACACTGGTTTGGTTTAAAACCAATGCTGAGAAATCAATGAATGCCCTCCATGTTAATGTGGACACAGGAAGTGGGGAAATGTCAAACATGTGGTTTGGACTTCTGCAGTCCAGGATCAGCTAAGATTCATTATAGTTCTGGTCACGCTGAGGTCTGCCTTTGCAAAAAAACTGTGATGGAGCAATGAAATGCAGCAATGGTTTCTCCTGAAGTCTGTTTCCCATAAAACATTTAATAGAAATGTAAAGACTTACTTTTATATTTATGTCCCAGCAAAATCACTTGCAAGAAAGGGCATTTAGGTAGATCCTTTTTATTTCATTTATCAAGGTTGAGTAAACATTTACTCATATCTATAATTAGGAAGACACAGATGGTTGGTTCACTGGAGTTTCCCTAACAGAAAGAGAAGTTAACTGAATTTTAATTTCAAGTTTCAATGCTATATAACATTGTCTTGGTAGAAGAAGATTAGATCAGCAGTGACTGATTCTGCCTAACAGAAATCTTGAAACCCAATATCTTAATCTTAGCACAACACACATTTTATATGTAATGTTATATAAAGTGTTTTTTAAAAATAAAATCAGATATAGGCATGCTTACTTCATCCAAAAGGTATGAAGCTTACAAGAAACAATATGGGACAATGGACAGAATATTGGACTTGGGCTGACACATTGTGCAGAATGTTAGGTTTGGATGAGTTCAGCAGAAATTACTTCCCATGCACCAGGTGGCAGCATTTAGCTAACCATGACTAATCTTGAAAAACTAAACGAGGTCATACTTGCTTAGATTTAAATGGAAACTGCCAGGAAATTTCCAATTATAAGCTAGACTCGGATATTGGTAAAGAACCCAGGATAAGGTAAGGGCAAACCATTTCTGAATGTGTCCATACAGTTAACAGGAATTGAGACTGATTTAAGGGAAGTGGAGATTTTATTTTTATGTCTACTCCCCAGGAAAGTGAAATTTACTGGTATGTTATCCTTATCATTATGATAGCATTACTTCTAAGATTAATAAAGTGCTTTTCAGGATTTAACACACTCATAAGATAGTATATGAACAAATAAAGGAATAGAATCTTTTTATAAAACAAGAGAAAATGAACATTCTTAAAATATTTAAAGAATTAAGACCTTGTAAGTAATAATGGTTTGAAATTTTAAGAAGCCCTCTCCATGTTGTTTTAGAACTAATAATCAAGCCACAAATGTAGGGTTGTTGCTAGTACTTTGACTCAACACAGCATGTCTTAATGATGGTCTGAGTCTGAGTTTGATCTGAACAGAGAAGCATGCCTGAATGGATTAGGCAGATCTTCATATTGTTTATTTAGGCCTGTGAAGGCTAAAAGCAATATTTTAAATTAGGCCTGGATTTAAATTAGGCCTTTAAATCAGCCAATGCAGTTTCTACAAAATAAGTGTAACATGTTCCATTTGCCAAGCTCCCACAAGCAACCTTTTGCATTCTGTACCTAAACACTCTAAAATGTCTTTTCAGGCAGCATCACATAGAACATATTGCAGTAATCCAGTCTAAGAGGGAACAAGAGCATAAGTCAGCATAAATCACCAAAGCAAAGTCTGTTTTTTCTAGGGAGAGTCCAGTTACCAAAAAACAGCTGAGAATGGAAAAAGTTTTCCTGGCCAAGTGTACATTGCCATTTGTACCTCTGATAAAACTGCTGAGTCTAAGAGCATTTCCAAACTGCATCCTTGCCGTTTTAGAGGGAATGTAATTTATTCAAAGGAAATTACACACCCTTATCAAAATTGATAGATTTTCCAATTTTAGGGCCTCATCTATTACAAAGCTTCCTGTAGATAATGCTTTGGCATTTCCACCATTTCCTTGAGATGAGAACAGTCTGCCCTGATAACCTTCCAACTGGGCAGAACTTTACTTTCCATAGTTCTCACCCAGCAGACCTAGTGGAAACAAAAGAAAGTGTTGTAGGTCACCTGCATTTGGATGACGTTGCAGGCCAGACATCTGGATGAATTCTCACAGTCATTCCATGTATATGTTAAAAACATAGAATTATGCCATGTCTGTGTAATAGTAGTGCTGCATATAACAAAATAATTTGGATACTTTCCAATAAACAATTAACAGAAGGATGTCTTTAATTATGTCCCTCACTTCATGGGAAGCCCTTTCCTCCAACACTGGCTTCCATGGAGAGAAAGTAAATGTTAATTGATTTCTTTCTCTGGCAACCCACATACAATCTTCCAAAGACACCCTGAAGACTTTGATAGTTGTTGGAGGGGTTTGCAGAGGAAAAAAGTGTGTGAAAAAAGAATGTGAAAATCATCTACTTTGTTCACAGATATCTTAATCCATGGATGGAAGCAGAGGGACACAATTAGATAAAAAGATAACACTCTCTTAAGTCAAATAGACTTCTGGTGACTATACGGACACATCCATTTAGTTTTCTTGGTAACAGTATAAAAGTAGTTTGCTATTACTTTCTTTCTGGATATTTTTCTTACTTCCTAGTCTACTGTACAACTTTGGGATTTCCTAATACTCTCCCATTGAAGTACTAGCCAGGTCAGATCCTGCTTAGCTGTTATTATTTATTTATTTTAGAATGTGCAAGCTTGGCCTAGGTAGTGCTACAAGCATGGGATAAAAGCTTGCTTATTAATTTTGGGGGAAAAATCATCATTTGTAATGGATATAATAACAGGAATACCTTCCCTGTTTTTCACCTTTTCCTTTCCTCTTGTATAGGTGATATCCTTTTTCGCAATTGGCCTGATGTCTATGATGATCCCATTATGCAATTCCTTTGGAGGTCTTATTGCTGTCTGCCTTATCATGGGCCTTTTTGATGGGTGCTTCATTAGCATCATGGCACCTATTGCTTTTGAGTTAGTTGGCGCACACCGTGTTTCTGAAGCAATTGGATTCCTCCTGGGCTTGATGTCTATACCAATGACAGCTGGTCCACCCATTGCAGGTAGGCAGAAATTTTTAATTAATTGTGTAGAAAGCATACCAAGTAATAATGCTGCTGTTATGTTTTTAACTGTTAACGGTATATTTTAATATGTTGTAAGCTATTCAGAGCCTTTTGGAGTATGTGGCCATAATACATTTAAAATAATAATAATAATAATAATAATAATAATAATAATAATAATAATAATAATAATAGTAGTAGTAGTAGTAGTAGTTGTTGTTGTTGTTGTTGTTTATGCTTGTCTGGCATTATATTATATGTTGTACAGAGCCTGAAATTATTCAGGGTTTGGGGGTATGAAAAATCTATTATGAATAGACTTCATAGTAATTCACTATATTCTGGTATAATGTGAACTCTTACACTATCAGGCACACAATGGTGTTGTTCTGTTTCTCAGATAGATATAAGTCTTTTCTATTTGAAATTCAACTCTTTTTATAGTTTGCATATACAGGTGGTCCTCAGTTAATGACTACTCATTCAATGACTGAACGTAAGATGGTGCTGAATGAGTGGTACTTATAACCGGTCCTCAAAGTTCCGGCTGTCACAGTGCTCCCACAGTCATGTGATCACCATCACGTGACCACAATTTGCATCTTCCCAGTCAGCTTCCCACGAGCAAAGTCAATGGGAAAGCCATTAGGAAGTCGTAAGTCGTGGTCACATGAGATCCTCACTTAACAACCCATAGTGATTTGCTTATCAATGGCAACTGGGGACTGCCAGAACTGCCATTGCTAAGCGGTGCAGTCATGTCATGCTTTATGGCCGCATTGCTTAGTGACAGAAATTCCAGTCCCAATTACCGTTGTTAAATGAGGACTGCCTATACTGAATCAAAGTTATTTTACTTTATAGCTTTTTCAGTTTTAGAATCTCTGAGGTGGGCACAATGAATTTTAAAAGCATAGAATATCCTGTTAAAATTGCATGTTAGTTTTTTTAATACTTCATCTAATACATCTATTATCATTTAGAGAGAGAAAATAGTTTCTAAAATGTGAATCCTGGTTACTAATGGCATTCTAAATCAATAGCTACTCTTTTTTACGAGGAATTTCTTAATGGCAAGAGCTGTTAAGCAGAGAAATTGTCTTGCTGGATGGGAGCCTATCAGAGATGGTTTAGTGGATTTCTATACTGAGCAGTGGGCTGACTTATAAGATCTCTTTCAATTTATACATTTTGTAATTCCGTATATCATGCCTGAAAGTTAATAAAATAGGATATTTAACTGATGTCACATGGTTTCAATATTTGCCAGTATGAAATAGTATTAAAGATAGGTGTTTCTGCAGCTCCTGAGACACATTGGGGGGGGAGGCATGCCAGATTGAGTGCTGAGAATGGCACGATTCTTAGGAAACCATTTTGGGCTCTCAATGGGCTTTGAAAACTAAACTCTAAAATAACAGAATTAATGCAAACATTTGTCGAGTCTCTGAACTCCAAATATATACTCTGGAATGTTTCTCTCTCACCATTCCACCCCTAAGAGAATATGAATGTTCACCTCATCCTGATAGTTTTACACCTTTGGATCTTGACTTTCCCCACTTTGAATGGAAATATCTCTTCTTTCCCTAAATGGTCTAGTCCAACTCCAAGGTTGTAGGATTCTAGGGGGAACTGGGATCCAGCCAAGCTTCTTGCTGGAGGAAAGCAGAACTTCTCCTTATTTATTCTTATTCCTCCTTTGGTGCAGTATAAAAGGGTTTACTTGGACACTACAAGGGGAAGAGGATTGGAGAAAATCACTGCTCTGCCTCCTTCTTCCAGCATCAATTCACTGAGCACAAGTTGTATCTGACTCCATATCAGTTTTTCCCCTTAGTGAGACTTCTTTTGAAGAAAGGAAATGCTTTATTAACCTTCAAGGTTCTATTATTTAAGACTTAGGTTGGATGATTATTGTAGGTATAATGAACTCAGGAGTACTTCCAAATTTTATAAACCTGCTGAAAAATCTAGTTATCTAGCTTGTTTGAGTGTTGATTTAGAATTATTTCTTTTCTTTTTCCAGGAAAGTTACGGGATCACCTAGGCTCTTACAATGTGGCATTCTATCTAGCAGGAGTTCCGCCTATTATTGGAGGAGCTATATTATGTGCTATCCCATGGGTGCATGCAAAGAAGAAGCACAAAGAACAAGCTACACCTGTGTATGGAGAAACCACAGAGAAAATGCTGGAAATCAAAAGCCCCCCTGCGTCGGACTCATTTGAAAAATCTAGCAAAGAATCAAAATCTGTTATTTAATATTGCTATTTTTTTCTACCAGATTGAATTTATTTTTATAAAACTAGGTAGCTTTCTGTGTATAAACTGAGTGCGCCATGATTGTCCTTCAAAGGCAAAGCTAAGGTGAGCAGCATGGAAATAGTAGAGGTGAAAGCAAATTTATCAAGTAGGCTTTTCGGCTGTTTTTGGTTGCGTTTACAAAATATGTTTCCACTTTTGTATGACATGTTGTTATAACAGAATATATGCTAGTGAATGTGTAGATAGGGAGATACATGGCTGCGCATCTGGAAGTCAAGATCTGTCCTCTCTTACTGGTTGATCTTCTCAGAATCCTTTCACTTTTATAATCTGTCCAGTGGAGTGATTCAGCTGGAATTTTTAGTAGCATCTAAAGGTTTTAAACAACTCCTGCTAATCTTTAAAAGTTCTGGGGATGTGGAATCAGAGTTTTTAGGATTCTGGAGGATTCTGGTAGGTTTTTGCAAAATGGCATCTGCCTCTCTACAGCACGCTAGCGAGTTGAATCATTTACAGTGCCTCTTTTGTGTGGTTTGTTTCTGGGTGGAGATTTGGCCTTGTTTGATTCAGCCCATGGCATACTGTTTCTAAAGGGAGTATGAGGTCCAGCTAAATCCAAATGCATATCAATACCTAACATGACGTACAACTGCAGCATTTATTTTTACAATATTGGTATGTGCAGGATGAGAGCCAGTTTGGTGTGGTGATTAAGGCACCAGGCTAGAAACCAGGAGACTGGGAGTTCTAGTCTCACCTAAGCACAAAGCCAGCTGGGAGACCTTGGGCCAGTCACTCTCAGCCCTAGGAAGGAGGAGGCAAGGGCAAACCACTTCTGAAAAACCTTGCCAGGAAAACTGCAGGGTCTTGTCCAGGCAGTCTCCGAGAATCGGACACGATTGAAAGATTTTTAAAAAATGTGCAGGATAAAACAGAATATTATAATGCAATACTGACGCTTGTTAGTTTTCTGTAAATCTTCTGTTGCTTAAATCTTTACTAGATCTATTCTGTATTGTTTCGTATGTCTCCATATAGATAGTACTATAGTAATGTTAAGGCTATCTCATACTGACTAATTCAATTAAATGGCTGATTTATTCATGTGTATATGGTAAAGTATGTGCTGAAACACATGAATGTCATGTCATTTAGTGCCTAGGAATTACAGTTCAAGCAATTATTTGTTAATAGTTTGAAGTCATTTTAAAATTACATATGATAGGTACATTGATGTGATTTTTTTCAGTTATATTTGTATGTTTTTATTGTGTGATTCAAAGTTCAGTAACTTTACATGTAAATTGTTTTCTATATTAGTTTTATTTTCAAATCAGAGGACATATTTAAGATAGCACTCATTATTTGGGTTTCAGTACTTCCATGCAATTCTCTGGTCCTTCCTGTGCATAGCACAGTTACTGAAAACAACAGTCCTGTGGATGGAGGCCAGATTTGAATTCTGTCCTCCTCAGTTCCTATGTTCTGGAGAGATACTGAGAATGACATGGCAATACCCATATGGGTTACCTCTCAGGTTTTGAAATTTAAGCTGCATTTGGCTGAATATGATAGACTCCTCCCGCTGTGGTGCCTTTCCAGTCCTTGTTGTAGTCTATCCTTTTTTTCCAATAGACACATTTTGCAGCACCCAGTTCATCTCGATAGCTGTTTAGGCCTCCAGTTGAAGGATCAAAGCTTACCATAAATTACCTGCTATGTACATACTTATCACACTTTTTCTCACTGGGGTAAGCAACATTATGCAGTGTGCAGAATAAGAAACAGTGAGCTCCCAGAACTGAAGCCTTGAGATAACAAAACAAAATGTAACTAAATCTGATTTAGTTTCCTACCAAAGCTTCACTTCAAATTGTTTCACTCTGTCTGAGGCTCTGTGTTTGGCCATTTTCACCCACTTCTAAAATAATCTTTTTAGTTCCATCAGAATAGGCTTGCTTTTCCTCTGCTTCATTTATTCTTTAATGCTCCTTGCTCTCTTTGACTGCATTTTTTGCAACTATATATTTTCTTTTTCACTTTATAATTCTATCAAGTATTATTTTTTACTGCCTATTAGCATTATGTCACATACGTCTGTGGCACTCAGTGATTGATAACTTATATGCCATCAAGTCAGTGTTTACTCTTACCAGCCACACAGATACATTTTCTCTATGACCATCTGTCCCTAACCTGGTCCTTCAGCATCAGTCTTTCCATTCTGTTCCAGTTTCCAGATCCTTTCTCCTGACCAACTCTTTCCATTCATAATTTTTCATGGAGGACTAATTCTCTTCCTGTGGTCATTCTAGTTTCAGTCATATTTTGTTTTAGGTTTTTCCCTGTTTGGTTCTCTTTTCCCCCCAAATCCATTCTTCACACTATCCAAGAAATGGTGGTTGTTTTATATACAGAACCCCTCTTCATCCCTATATTCTTCACTAATTCTCTTACTCTTTCATCATAAACAAATCAACCGTTCTTTTAAATGCATATTTATTCTGTTGCTATGTGTACATATGAATAAATTATAAATGTATATAAATAATATAAATTTCTTATATTTAAACTACATATTTGCAACAAATTTTTCTAAGCAGACACTCACCAGTCAACCATTCTCATTTGTTCTTGGGTCTCTGAATGGCTTGTTCACTTTTTTGTGTTCTCACCTTGTTCACACCCATCCATTGATGCTACCTAACAAAATAATTTTTCTCTTGCATCATATTCATTCAGAACATTGCACAATTTTCCTAAAACCCATCTCTGGCATTATCACCATTCACTAGAGTTTAACATAACAGCTATTGTCAACCTATAGAATCTTACTTTCGTAAGTGTCTATAACATCCTAGCTGACAGGAATTCATGCTTTCTGACATAGATTTTAGCTTTTTAATTGGTAATTAAACCTTCCCTGCATGCATTCATTAACTCCAGAATATTAGACCATCTTCATTCAGATATGTTAACATCCCTTTCTCTTAGGGCATAGCTACATCCTTAAGCTGTTCTGGCCTTGTGCTCATGCTGGCTTGATTCTAGTCTGGTTTAAGAAAATCCTGTCCAGAATGAGACACTTTGGCAATCTGCTGGTATTCAGTTATAACAGACTATCACATCCTCCCACTGGACAATTTTCTTGCTGCTGTGCTATCTCCCACTTTTCCTTTCCAATCCCTTTCCTTTTTGTGGGCGGGTCTTACTGGACATATATGATGATAGACATAGAGAGAGATGGATGGATAGGATAGGATAGGTAGAATTTATAAATACAAAGTTAAAGCATCAAAATCCCCATACAGGCCCAACAACCAGATTTAAAATAAATGTTATCTTACTACTCTGTTGGTCTCTAGTATCTTTTAGAGCTACTTTTAGCATGAATGCTGTAATAACACCATTTTTCCAGTCATGAAGTAGAAAGCGCCCCTTTAGACCTGGGGTTTAAATCCTTCTACCCCAAGTGACTGGAAAAATGACAAAATGTTGCAGCTATGCCACATTTAAAAAAAAAATCACAGGGAAATATAAGTGACTCAGGGAAATAAAAATAGTAATAAAAAAAAGTTTCTACCAGGTTCCAAACCAGCAACTTTTTATTTGTTAATAGTATTATAACCATTGTACTATTACAGCATTCCTGGTAAAGGTAGTTCTGGAAGACACAGATAGTAACCATTGATTCAGCTGAGAGGGCCACTCTTGCCTTTGTGAAGTAGCCAGTGGACTGCTGGGATTAGTACTGAAGGACACCAGAAGCGCCTGGTAACAGGGTAACTGGGCAGTGCAGATAAGCCCTTAGCCTCACAGACACATAACATACCTATTTTTGTTCCTTATATAATTAGTTAATCCATGCTCTTTATCATTTATTCCTCTTACATTCCAAGTCACAATCTAACATTTGTTGTCACTAGGTGAGCCCATAGTTACTGACCTCTACCACCCTACATGGCTTTGGTAAATCTAGATTTTCACAGAATGCTGTTTAGTAATATAGGCAAGATGTACAATACCCTACCAATTGTATTCATGCCAAATGCAACATTTCGGCTAAGAATAAAGAGAATACCAGTCTGGCCCATTTTGAGAGTTTGCCACAAATGTAACCAAAGCCGTTTTTCACCAAGTATATACCGTATTTTTCCATTAATAAGACGCCCCCCCACTTTTCCAACCCAAAATTAAGAAATCAATATTTTAAAGATAAAGCAGAACACAT